CTCCATCTCTTGGGTGGTGCATTTAATCCATTGACATTCAGTGTAATTATCAACAAGTATGAATTTGTTGCTGTCATTTTGTTATGTGCTTTTTCATGGTGTTGCTGATTTCTTTGTTCCATGTAATTTTCTGTGGTGAGCTCATTTTGTTTATGAATCATATTATCACTTCCTTTGTTGTTATTGTTTTAGTATTTGCTAAATAGTTGTGCTTGTCCTCTTTTTATCTTGCACACTTTTTTTTTTTAAATCTCCCAAGCTTTCTCCCTTGGCCACTCTTTCTTGGTAAACCCCAAGTTCTCTGGCTACCTTGTACCTGCAGCCATGCAGCTGAATGTGGCTGAAGAATAGCAAGCAATCCTGCTCACAGAACTCATTTTAAATGTGTGACAATTGACCTCACGGCTGGCCCTTCCTGCTGCCCTACAGTCCTTCTACTACATCTCCCACTCTTCTACGCTGGGGGCCAGCAGACCACACTCCATGGTGAAATCTGGCTTGCCACCTGTTTTTATATAGGGCCTGCAAGCTAAGAACTTTTTTTTTTCTTACATTTTGTAATTTTTTTTTTTTTTTTTTTTTTTACATTTTGTGGGGTTTTTGGGTTTTTTTTACAAAATAAGATGAAGACTATCTCACGACACGAATTTTGTAAAATTCAAAGTTCAGTGTCCATAAATAAGGTCTCACTGGAGCACCGCCATGCTCCCTTAGTTACATGTTGGTTGTGACTGCTGTCACACTATATAGTGGCAGAGTTGAATAGTTAGGACAGAGATCATGTGTGGCCTCTCATCCCTTCACACTGCTGCTTGGCACATTATAAATCACAATTAGGCAGTTATAACTCAATTTTACCTCTTGGCCGACAAAACCTAAAATATTTTCTATCTGGCCCTTTACAGAAAAGTTTGCCAACCTCTGTCCTAGATTATGGTTTCACACCTCCTCTTTCCTCAACCTCCAACACTTCCTCTCCCATCCTCATATTTACCTATTTCACTAAGAAAGCAGAAGCAATCAGAAAGGACTTCCACATACTCCCAGCACCACACTCCCAGCCCCCTGCCCTGGTGCTGTTCTCTGCATTCCTCCTATTGAGTGGGTGGGTTGTCTGTACTCCTCTGTGAAACCAGCTCTATTAGTTATCAATTGCTGGGATATGACCACAAATTTCTATCTCAAAGCAACACACATTTATTGTCTCTCAGTTTCTCTGGTCAGGGTCTGAGCATGATTTAGCTTGGTCTTCCACTTCAGGGTCTCACTTGGCCACATTCAAGGTGTGTTGGCCAGGGCTCTGGTTTCATCTGATGTTTGACTAGGGGAAGATCTGCTTCCACGCTTACCATGTGGCTGTTGGCAGTGCTCAGTTCCTCACAGACTGCTGCACTGAGGGCCTCTATTTGTCCACTTAGACTTTCCCAACATAGTTGCTTACTTCTTTGAAACCAGCAAGAGAGAAAGTCTCCTCACAAGATAAGCATTAAAATCTTAACAACTGCAATCACATACGTGTAATCATGTACATACTATCAGCCTTGCCATTTTTCTGTTAGTTAGAAGCAGGTCACAGGTCCCACCCACGCTCAATGGGAGTAGCTCACACAAGGGTATGAATACTAAGAGGTGGGAACCTTGGGGATCACGAAGAGTCTGTCTAGACACCCACCCTCCACTTAGAGGTCTTCTTATCTCCTCAAGGACATGACTTATCCTGCATCACCATGCGGTTATTTCTCCCATCTTAATATAAAAACAACAAAAGTAGAAATTATGGTAGTTGGGGTTGTATGTCAACTCAGCTGGACCATGATTCTGAGTGGTTTAAGCAGTTATGATATGGTTATTCCCATAATGAGATCGAATGTATATGTTTTGAGCAGCCAGTCCATTGGAAGGGAGTTTCCTTAGGGGTGTGGCCTGCTTCCAATATATATATGGACATCCTGGGAAAAAGACTCTTCGGAGAATCTGGATCGTGTTGTGCTGCCTACAGCTGTCCATGAGTGAACAATCCTATCCTCTATTGGGCCTGGTGATCTTGGATTCGTCACCCATAAGAGTCAATAGCCTGTCTGCTAACCTTGAGCTCGTCAGCCTCAGCAGCCAGCAGCTGTCTGAGTGAAGAAAAGCATCCAGCTTCAGTGGGCTGGGAGCAGGAGGCAGAGCTAAAGCCCAAGATTGAGGGGCTTTCACCCAGCCCCTAGAGCTGGCACTTTGAACTTGTACTTAAAGCCTTCAAATTTTAAGAATGAACTGCTGTTTGTTAAAGCCATCCCATTCATGGTACATTCTTGTCAGAGCAGCACTAGGTAACCAGAACAGAATATAGTACCAAGAGAGTGAGGTGCTACTCTGACAGATACCTAAAATGTGGAAACAGGAGTGGAGTGCGTCCTTGACCCAAGACCCCAGCAGAGAGACCCCTGTATGTGGCATGAGAGACAGCAGGAGCACAGCCAAGAGACCGGCATGAGAGAGGGCAGGAGCAGAGCCGAGAGACCGGCGGGAGAGGCGGCGGGCGCAGAGCCGAGAGACCGGCGGGAGAGACGGCGGGCGCAGAGCCGAGAGACCGGCGGG